AGGTTGTTAACAAGTTGTAAGCAATCATCTGGAGGTACACTAGGAAAAAGGTTGGTGACATCAAAAGACACGAGAATCGCATTGTCAGGGATGAATATGTCCTTAACTAAAGATGTCAAGTGTTTGGAATTTTTTATGGAGCTTGAACTGGTGAAATTTGTTGAGTTTAAAATAAAAGAATTCAAGAATTTTGACAATTTGGCGCAGGGGGAGTTGAAATAAGAAACCACTGGTCTTATGGGTATGTTTGGTTTGTGTATCTTTGGGAGGCCATACAAAAGGGGTGTACTAGGATTCATTAAATTGAGTTTGTACTTATTGGTACCAAGTTCCAGAAGTATGTCATTTCGATCATTGAGATGTTTTCTTAATTGGGTTATGAATTTTTGGGTGGGGTTATTGTTAAGCAGGGAAAAATCACCATTCTCAAGGAAATTGGTTACTTTGTCAACGTAAGCATCTCTGTCTAGAATTACTATGCAATTGCCCTTATCAGCCTTGGAAATGATTAAGTTTTTATTTTTTATGTTGGTTTTTAACAATTTGAGGGATTTATTGAGAGAACTGTTTTCTTCATTATCTGTGTGATCATTATGGTTGTAGGAATCATTCAAGAGAACCGAAATTCTAGATGAAATCATGTCAGGGTCATCAATTCCAGAAGCCTCTAAAGTGCTTTGGCATTTGACAGCAAGCATTTCAAGATCACTAGAGTTAGTGCCTTTGTAGAAGTTGAATTTAAGACCAAGAGATAGCAATTTTTCTTCCTTGGTGGATAAGTTATGTGAACTCAGATTAAGAAATCTTTTATGGAATTGAAAAGGTGTGTCATCAAAGTGGTCGCTGGGGTTTTCGTTAGAGTGATTAAATACGTTTTCGAAAATTGAGTTGTCAAAGGAAAAAGAGGAATTACCCAAGTCATCGTTCCTAGGGGCCACAGATGGTAAAAAGGTACTGTTGTGCACAGTCGGTAGGTCGCCAGTAGGTATAGAGTTATAATTATTAGAGTGGTATAATGAACATTTCTGTTTTTGCAATAAGGAATTAAGCTTGTTTTTAACTTTGGAAAATTTGTCTGCACCCTTATCTGAAACGTAATCGAGGACGCCACTCACCAAAGCATCCCACTCCGCCGGGTGAAGCAAAAAGGAGAGGCGGAGATATATTAATTTGAGTTTTTGTTCAATTAAGCTAAGCTTGAAATAGTGTTTCTTGACTTCCTCTTTAATCCAGATTCGTGTAGCTGCTTGAATTGCTTTTTTCGACGACGACGATCTTATTCTGGTGTGCAATGAGATGTATTTCGGGGTTAGGTGTTTTCGTAGGCATTCATTGTTGAACCATATGTCGATCTTGGCAAGTTTCCTCTTCAGCATATTTTCCTTGTATTGGCGGACTAGTGTAGCTTGACCAGCAGTTGAAATTTTGAAATAGTAGTCCATGTCTCACAGTGAAGAGAATAGTTAAAGAACTGGAGTAAAACACACAGTCTATCTTCACTCTTTATTTTACAAAAATAATCAGTTGGAAGGGGTGACGCTACCCACCGGAGTATAATTCCTTTTATGAACCTTTTTAAAAATATAAAATTTAATATTCAATAGTCAAACTCTGATTATCCCTTTTGTAATGATATTATTCAATTTAATTTAGTTTAATTTGTCACACTCATTATTGCTTACAACATATTTTATTGTTTTTGGATGTGTAACTTAGTATCCAACTATGATTGTTTGGCTTTTGGTCGTAAGAGGGAGCTACTTGGTTTGATTTCTGGAATTGTCAGGTTTTTTATGCAGCAAATTTTACTAATTTCCTGCCACCATCTTCTTCCTCATCTCCATTACATTCTTACTCCTCGTGCAGACAGCACGATTTTTCATTAAGTAAATTTTTGAAATTTGATTAACAACTAAAAGCTAACACCCACTAACATCCAGAAGTACAGATGAGCGTCCAGAATTCCGCCTCCTATAGGCATATTCTGTGTTTGTGTGGCAGTCCTATTTTTCTAATGTTAATAAAATAATTTTTTCAATCTTCACCTTTGGTAAGTTGAAACTTTGACGTAATTTTTGAAATCGTACTCACAAGCTTCCTCTATTCCAGTTTTGTAAATATGTTCTGTGTTGGATGCGGCTTTAGCCACCAACTTTATGCTGATAACAGCATGAACACTTATATTTTTATGTATAATTATTATACTTAGGCATGTCGTATATGACCATATTTTCCCTGTGCCATTTGGTAAGTTTTTGATGTATACACCCCAGCCCCTCGCCATAACTCCCATATTTTTGTAACTTGTAGAACTTATGCTGATGATGGATCTATGATAGATCCGAAACATGTACAACCCCCCTTCCAACTGTTTATTTTTGTAAAATAAAGAGTGAAGATAGACTGTGTGTTTTACTCCAGTTCTTTAACTATTCTCTTCACTGTGAGACATGGACTACTATTTCAAAATATAGTTATTATTTCAAAAATTAGTTGGTGTAGTATAATTTCTATGTTTATTCCCAATTTCATATAAAAATAAAAAAACAGAAAATACCTTCGTAGGTTTCGGGTATCTGCACTCTGCAGTATCCCCTCTATTCATCCTGCTTGCAGTTGCCGTAGGAGCATTGCGAACTGGATCAGTGATACCCTGCGCACAGCTCAGGTGAGGAGCTGCTGAATTGGGTCTGTCCAAACTCTAATCATCTGGAGCAACGTTGAGAATATAGGGCGCCATATCTTCCTCTCGACTCGGACGTCTACACCATTTCCAACAGTATTTCAAAATCGGTCAAATGTATTTCAAAATAATCACTTTTATTTCAAAAATTCATATTTTAATTTCCAATTTGTCACTTTTATTTCCAAATATGTCATTTGTATTTCAAATTAATCAAATGTATTTCAAAATCATCATTTCTTATATCATCAAAAACTGTAAGGGAGGTACAGGGTGTCTTAGTTATAATTTGATTTTTTTAACTGTACGATAGAAACACATACTTTATTTTTTAATCGAATTGATAATCTTTGAAATACAACTGACCATTTTTGGAATACATTTCACTAATTTGAAATACATTTGATGTATTTCGAAATAAATTTGGTTATTTTGAAATACATTTGATATTTTTTTAAATTAAAGTTGTTATTTTGAAATACATTTGATGCTTTTTGAAATCAACTTTATCTATTTTGAACTAAAAGTGGAAATGGTGTAGTCTCATGAATAGGATGATTCAAATGACATCAAACCACAGATAGACGGAACAATAAACAAAATTTCCATATGACAACATTTCGCTGTCTCTTTTGGGCCTTTGTGCTAGCCCCACCACTGAAAATGCCAAATTTTGTCTTGAATCCCTAAATAATATATTTTCCTCCTTTTCTAATCAACGTTTTTAATTTAATTTCTGAATTGCATTCGACAACAGCGGATTGTAGCAAAACGCCGACCATAAGCGGCTTGTTCGATGGCAGGCAGGTGTTGGTTGGAGTAGCTAGCTATCTTTATCGCACACAGGGATTATTCATTAGCGTTAAACAAGAAACGACCAATACGATATTGGTACTCCCAGAATAAAGTGCTCGTATCGAATATGTTCAGTTCATTTGTCAAATTATAATTTTATCTATTCATCCAATTACCTTTTGTTTGAGATATATCCACGTGTGGGCGGGTTTTTTACGCCATATTGAGCAATGATGTCTCCCCACCCCGACCCCGCGAGCAACTCACCACCCCTGGCCCATGGGTGGTCTTCTCAACACAACAAATATCAGTTTATGAATGGTATGATCCGTCTATCTGTGTTTTGATGACACTGGGTGATTCTCTATAACGCAACATCGATGAGGTTGTTCTCTGGTTATTCACGTGTGTAACTTTTGCATCATCGGACCCCATATGCACTAAATCTTCCTGAGAATCTGCGCGCTGGGCATATCGATCAAATACATAAATAACAGCGTCGATTCTGTTTCCTTCCTGAAGTTGGTCCTTGCACTACGATCCCTTTAGCTTCTCCAAGGACTTGGTCAAAGTCCTGAAGTGAGCTGACGTTTCGAGACCAGATCTTCTTGTTGAGAAAACTTTGGCGTAGTCGAATTTAATCTTCTCCGTCAAAACAAGGTAAGAATTGAAATGTCTTCGCGTTAGTTGAATTTCATAGATAAATGGGTAGGACTAGGGAAATCTGCGAGTGGTCGTCTCTTCTAGATACAGTTAAAAGATATACCTACGTTCTTTGTCTGTTTGTAGGTATAATATAGAATAACCAGTTTTTTGTGACAATCTATTGGTAGGTACTTTTTTTAAGTTTGCAAAGTAGAATAATATTGTTTACTTAGTTTTATTTTTTATACGTTAGGACTTCCAAGTAGCCTGGTGGTATTAGGCTTCCGGTTTTTGACGATTTTTGCCAATTGGTTGTCAGTCTTCTTTCTACATGATCGCTGTCTCTAGTTCTTCTCCTTTCTCTGGCCCAACTTACAATATCCGGAACCTTATAGGTACCTATGTCATTTTCCTCGTTTCTTTTGCAGTCACATAGTGTGTGTCCAGTTAGCGACCTTAGAACTCGCATATGAGTTGTTCTTAGCTGGAGCTTGGTAGTTACGTTTCTGTTCTCGTTTCTACAGCATATTTCACCACTGATGTTTGAGCTCTCACCTCCTCTTTTAGATTTCTATTACTTATGATTGCTCCAAGATTATCGAAGGCCATTATTTGTTCCACACAAATGAAAATCCTATATTTTAAAGTGCTACATTTTATAGCAGTAAAATAAAAAATAAAGCTCGGTTTAGGCTGGTTTTATCAATATTTTTCAGAAATTATTAAAATAATTGAGTGCTCTTGAGATTTCATCTGATAAGTTTAGTTATTGGGACAAAATTTGGATAAAATAAAATGAAAATATATTCCAAAATCTTTGAAAATTTATTTTATGACAAAATTAATGATATTTTCTATTTAATTTAATATTTTTTAGTGGAAAAGTCGTATACGGAACCAACCTTTTGGCCGAGGAGAAACATCTAGACACCGCAATAAAGATCAAAAAGAGTTATTTACATCCACTATTTGCCTATAACTACACTTACGGTGGAGACATCCCATATTTTGATGTTGGTATTCTTGAGGTAAATATATTTTTTCTTTTCTATCTTGCTTATTGATAGCCAATTTAGATGAATTCATCTATTCGAATAGGTATAGCTATTTTTCTAACAAGTGCGCAAAGTTTCCTGTTTCAGGCAAAAGATATTCGACAAAGCTCCGAATTACTTTACGTTAAAGTATTTTTATTTCTATTTTAACGCAAAAACCAGGCCCTGCGATCTCTCATTGCCAGTTATAAACCACATAATAACTCTTTTCCGTTTTTCTAGATGTCGCTGACAACCACAGAATTGTCAAAATTGTAAAATACCAGCACATCAAGAACACGTCCAATGTCGATAACTGACATATGTCAACATATGAAAATATGCCAAAATATTCATTTGATCATAACTAATAATTCATAATGTTCTTTGTTCGCCGGTCTTGCATTTCATCTTTCTTTGTGTTGTCAAGTGTTCTTAGGGCCGATACTTTTGCTCTCGATTAACGAATTTGATACGTCGTCAAAGTTTTGCATGGGCCAAGTTCTATAAGTATGATGTGGTTACAGCACATTCAAAGCCCTGATTATTTTTAACGACTGTCAAATGAGAGCAAAAGTACCGGCACTTAAGTGATTTCAAAGTTGTTTTGTCTGTTTCAAGAAGAACTTCAAACTTTATAGATTGGAAGATTAATTTGATCTTTGTTGATTAGATAAATGACAGGTTCAATTAAACATCAAACAGAACTTTGAATAAATATGTTAAGGATACCCTTAACCATCGATAAAGAAATTGTCTTTTGATCTAATTAACAAATTATCGTTTAATTTAGGCAAACATTAATGTCCCAAAGTCTAGAATAAACAAATTTGAACAAACCGACAGTAGTGCGAACAGGGCGCCATCTATTATAAAAAGTCCTATATAAAGAAGGTGTCTGTAGCATCGATGCAAAACCAGTAAATAGTGATTTTCCGATATGGTAGATGGCGCTGGCTTGGCTCAATTTTGTTGACAACAAAATTTACACTGAGATTCCATTCTCGGCAGTTTATATAGTATTTATCTCTGGCAAAAACAGAAAAACATTTCATACCTTCCTATTGTTAACTAGGTACATTATTAAAGGTGCAACTTGTGGCAAATGTATGACAAACTGCAGTTGACTTCTGGAGAGAGCAAACGTCAGTAGTTCATTATTCATAAGTGTGAGTGTGAAGGAATGAGTTGGTAGGATTCAATCTGAAGGACATTTTACCCAAATGTAATATGTGAGATAGTAAACACACTTATTGAAATATTAATAATGTTATTAAAACCACCTGTACAAGGGCTTATTAGGTACTTGCTGTTTGTTGTTTAATTTATACAGGGTTATCCATTTTTTCTGCGCGTGTATGAAGTTTCAAATTTTGAATAAAAGACCCTGCCTAATTTTCTTTTTTCTGTTATATCTTTTCTACCTGATTCCAAGTATTTATATATCTAGTTTGTGAGGTCTATCTCATCTGATATTTGAAAGTAAAGTATCAATATTAAAATCAAAAAGTAGATATTAAAATATAGGAAAATTGTGTCTAAGCAGTAAAATGTATTTAGCTATGTGTTGATTTTTGTCTAATCTTATAATATAGAATTTATTCCAAAAATTCGTGAGCTAACAAAAGCTGTCCGCAACCAACTTTATACCTATATTTGGTGGGGACAATTTTATAATTTTCTAGAGGGGGGAGTTAGAGGACGCCCCCTCCTATACGATGAAAATGAATGCAAGGAAAAGGACATTTATTCACTTTAGCTCGTAGATAAAAATATATTTAAAAAAAAAAATCATTCCAGCTTGAACATGCTATTCCATTTGATGCCAAAGCACAACCAGTCCAATTGGCTAATTCCGAGACTAATTCCAGTGCTCCAATGCCTTTCCATCAAAATGGTACTTTATCTGGATGGGGTGTTAATGAAACCTTCGGAGCAGCTGCAGAATTCTTACAAAAAATCAATTTGCAACTTTTAAATGATACAGAATGTGCCCGAAAGATTGACGACTATGTTAGTGTGGATATCTTCAACAGTACTCACAATTTGTGTAGTGATGATTACTATAACGGAGAATGCTTCGTAAGAACCAATTGATTAATTTTCATTGAATTAAACTAATACTTACATTGAAATTTTATTTAGGGTGATTCTGGAAGTCCTTTTGTTGTCAATGGACTCCAATATGGTGTGGTTTCCTGGTCTTTCAAACCGTGCGGCATCACTCCAGGAACTTACAGTCGTTTGACTACGCCAGCTTACCGTGAATTTATCAGAAATGTAACTGGAATTTAAGAATAAAATAATAATATAAATATTACCCATATGATATTCTACTTTTTATCTTTCCACCAATAGAAACTGCATAATCTTGAATAAATTTTCACGGATTCCGGGTTTACTAAAACTCACTTCACAAACAGTAGGTAACAGCTTTTCTTGAACAATTTGAATTTATATTAAATTCACTGATCACTTGTCGAAACATACACAACAAATCTCGAATTTAAACTGAATTAATTTACTCGCGATTCCGCTCGTGAATTAACTTTTCCGGTCAACGATAAACTATCATTTTATCGTCTTGTATAAAAAATAACTATTATTGTGTTTCAATGAAAAATCAAAATCAATAAATTAGCAAGGTTTTTCACCACTTGCTTCCACTCAAAAATATGGAGAACCGCAAAACTGAAATTTTTGGGATTTGAGCCGGGCCAACTCCAAAATTCACGAATACAAATGCAGGAATTGTTTAGGTATTCTTTAGTTTTCAAGAAAGTGAAGGGATTTTGACGTAGTAGAGGTGGGTATTGGTTTGATAGCTGAAGGCAGTTGAGCGTGGGAACTTTTTCGATACCGTGGGAAAATCGGCGCCTTTGATCTGAAATTTTGGGAATTTGACCCGGGCCAACCATGGGTACTTTTTCGATACCGTGGGAAAATCTCTAGATCAGCGCCTTGAATCTGAAATTTTGGGAATTTGACCCGGGCCAACCGTAGGAACTTTTTCGATACCGTGGGAAAATCGGCGCCTTAGATCTGAAGTTTTGGGAATTTGACCCGGGCCAACCCCAAAATTTGTGAATCTGGTGAACTATTTACGTCGAATAGGTGGGTATTGATAGCTGGGGGCACTTGAGTCAAAAAAGTGCTCAGGAGCTTTACGGAAGGGGGTTTACAGTGGAGGTGGGTATTGGTATGATGGCTGTGCTAGAGGGGGTTTTACGTGGTAGAGGTGAGTCTGATAGCTGTGAAAACACTCTACTTTCACCTATGGAGGCAATATTAGATTTGATGAAATATTGCCTGGATTGCCTGGAAATCTTTTTCAATATCAATTTGTCGTATAAAAAGTTTGACTGCTCTTGGGACCACCATTATCACCATTATTGGCCAATATTTATACGAAATGAATCGAGGAATCAACCTTAAACCTGAATTATAGCTAAGATATGTCGACGATATTTTCGTCATATGTAATCACGAGGAAAGTGATCTGTACAAGCTCTCAACCAACGTCGACAACACAACTTTACTTTCATGTAGGTATATGTGAGAAAGGTTAGTAATGTAATATTCCTAAGCGGTAGTCGTTAGCCTGTCAGCACAGTTCTGGACCATCATCTCTAGACTTCTTGTATGCATGATTCACTGAGCTATAACCCATTACCTGGTCATTGTCTTTCTAATCCGGTCATTGTCGTTCTAATAATCTGGTCGAATAAGTTCCAATATTGACAATGTAGAATTCTCGCTAACCATCTCCAATAAACTGCACAAGGAAAATTGGTTTAGGGAGAGAGCGTGAATATTCTAGAGTTAGCGAAAAGAGGAAAAATTTAAAATAAAACAAATAAAACGGATATAAGAATTCGATGTATTTGTACACACAAACAGTGTTTTTTTTTGGAATATCATACGGTTTGTTTAATAACATCAAAATACATTTATATAAACTTACTAATAATTGTTTAAAATAGTAAGAACACGCGACACTGAGACTTTTTTTAAAAAATATCTGCAGTTAAAATATTCATCTTAAAAATCGTTCGAATATTTTTTTTAATAAGGTCCTACAAATCAACATTTCTATATCACATTATTCATTCACAATTAGTTCAGCACCATTTTTTATTTCTTCAATATTTTTTTAAATTTATTTATGAGCAAACTCGCCTTCGATTCTGTATTCTTTTGCATAGGTATTTTATGTTTGAAAATGGCAATTTTGGTGGAATTATGTGGAAAAGTGATTTAGGTTTTTTTTTTTAATCTAAATGTTTTATGTGAAAGTCATTAATCCTGCTTTGAAAGGAGAATTATTTAGATTTATTATATACAAGGTGTTACAAATTCGCGAGTAAGCATGGGGATCTGGGTAATCATACAAGATACAGGATCGGTTAAACTGGGGTAAAGTTGCGCAACTTCTTCTTCACCAAAATGCCGTCTCGAAATTTGGAAAATTCCAAATACTTCTGGAGATATTTTTTCCTGCGCTTATTTAGAGATATATTTAGAGATACTTCTAAATAAAAATAAATGACACTTCATAATTGCCAGTTTCTCTCCTCTACAATATGGCATTAGTTTTTGAAGCGACATTTTGGTGAGCAAGAAATTGAATAACATTGCCCCAATTTATCTGACCCGGCATCTCTTATATTTAGTTACCGAGATCCCCATACTTACTAGCCGAATGTCTAACACCCTGCATTTATCGATCATCTACCATATTAACACAGATAGACGAAACACATCATTTTTATAGAATGATGTGGTGATGCGATAGGCAAATGCTGTAAGTTCCAACGGTCGGTCAGAGTGAGAATGCGTGATTATTCCACAGTTTGAGCTTTTCAAAAAAGATATCAATCAATGCTCACAGCTAACTTTTCTGTGAAACCCCAAGAAGCTTGGTGTCATAAAGAGTGGCTTTCTATTGAATAAGCTAGGTCCTACCGTATAGATCACCACAATATATGGCATTGGAATCACTAGAAGCTAGAAAAAAAACACTCAATATAACTCGGATTAATGACCTTAGGTGGAACAAAACCAGATTGATAAATACCCTGGGTAAGAGCTCTAGGCAATTGGGGAATAATATATTGACGAGTACGAGCGAAACACAACAAAAACTTGGATCCAAGAAATTGAACAAAACCAAAAAAAAATCTCATCCAGAACATTGAAAAAAGGTGAATTTCATTAATGTATCAGCCAGAAGACTACATCTTAGATTTTACCATGAGAAATTTCAACGCAATTTCTGCTAGAATAGAAAGTATAATCAATAAAAATTAAACCAAAAAGCGTCGGATGAATTCAAATGACAAGCTACGATCAAACTAGAAAGATAAAAATATAATGAACAGTTAAGCTCTCAAAAGGATCTGTAGCTAACAAAAGGATGTAGAAACACTACCAACTGATAAAGGGAAATGCAGAATACCTACATTAGGGTGGCAGTAGCAACCCATGCACATGGGCCTATTTTCGTGAAATTGCTTTGAAGGTGCAATAACGACACATCAAAATTGGCTCAAATTTAGCATGAACATCCTTTGATCGTCTAAAGATTTGTGAAGTGAGTTTTTCCCTTAGAGTAGGTTAAGCGCTGTCCAACCGACATAGGGAGTAGGAACGCGCCATTCTGCTATGAAATTAGAGTAAAGCCATCTGGAAAAAAAAACGGCTTCATTTTCCAACTAAATGTTTCTACTCCTTCCACTTAGGAAAAAAAGTAACCACGCTGAAAAAAAAATGACTCCATAAATCTATAGATAATCGATCAAAGAATGTATATGCCAACTTTGGGCCAATTCTGATGTGCCATTTTTTTTACACCTTCAAAGTGATTTTGGAAGTTAAAATCCTTTCCTAATATAATAAAATAGGAAAAATAAGTATATCCAAGGTCAAGTCTGCCACTATCCTGATCCGAAAAGGCACAAGACGGGTGGAGAGCATTATGGTTAGGCCAGGATGCAAAACAATAATATTTCAAATACTGCATCTTAGCGTCATCTATTAACATAAAATCAGATTTGAGGGTGCTGTTGCCACCTTAATTCTGAACTTGGTGTTCAGCCTTTCAACAGGAAATTGGAATAAAAATCAAGGAAGGGCAGCTGCGGTACTGCCCATTTTCTAAGACCCAAAAAGGTACAAACAAAATAAATATTTACATTCATCATCATCATCATCATCATCATAAGCAACCCAGTCGGGTCCACTCCTGAACATAGGCCTCCCCTTCCAATTTCCATCTCTGACGGTCTTGTGCAGTGTGTTGCCATCCTCTCCCTGCTCTCCGGTAAATATCATCCATTCACCTGTTTTGGGGTCTCCCTTTGCCGCGTTTGTTTGTTATTGGTCTCCACTGCATAACAACAATTTTTGTCCATCTGTTGTTCGGTGGCCTGCCCATCTCAACTTTGCTTCTGCTATACACTGGATCACATCGTTCAAACCCGTGCGTCGACGCATGTCCTAGTTGTTTATCTTGTCTCTCAGACTAACGCCTAGCATTGCGCGTTCTATGCTCCTCTGAGTGACTCCCAGTTTGTTTGCACTTTAGAGGGAGTATGCACATGTCATGTACTTTTCTTTTTATGTTTAAAGGAATATCTGAATTTTCAGAATAAAGCGCAACCTTCCAAATGCTGCCCCGGTCATGCTTACTTTTCTGGTAATTTCAGCCTTTTGGTTCTCTTTCCCAAGCTTGATCTGGTGCCCCAGAGAGACGTATTCGTCCACTCTTTCTATTTCTTGGCCTTCGATGGTAAGTAGGTTTGCCTCACTTGAACTCATTAATATGGTTTTTGCAATGTTCATCTCTAGTCCCACCTCCTGCGATGCTCGCTTCAGTTGCTGTATCATTTCATTTCTTTTAGTTCATCGAGTGTTTTTTTGTTTAGGACGCTGTCATCGGCGAACCTTAGATGGTTAAGATATTTGCCATCCACATTCACGCCTTTGTTTTCCCATGATAGAGTTTTGAATATATCTTCTATGGCTAGGGTGAAAGGCTTGGCAGAAATGGTGTCGCCCTAACTTACGCCTCCTCTTATGCGTATTTTGTGCGTGATCATTTCGCTTTCGATCTTCACTTGGAATATGGCGTTCTCGTAGATGTGTTCCAACAGGTTTATGTATCTTGAGTCAATCCGTGCGTTTTCCATTGCTTCAAATATTGCGCTTAGGTATATGGAATCAAAGGCCTTGCTGTAGTCTACAAAAGCCATATGTAGTCCGACGATGTATTCAGTGCATTTTTCTATAAGTGTGTGAATTTTTTGAAGTTGATCTGTGGTGCTATATCCCTTCCGGAAACCTGACTTTCCTCTGGCTGATGAGTTCATTTTTGATGTGAGCCTGTTATGATTTTTGTAAGAAGTTTATACGGATGTGGAAGCAAGCTGAAGGGTCTATAGTTTTCTATTGAAATTTTATCACCTTTTTTGTGGAGAATGACGACCAGTGCGTTGTTCCACGATTAAGGAATTTGACTTATCTCAACGCATCTGTTTAAGAGAGACTGTACTGCTTTTAGCGCATTTTCTCCTCCTAGTCTTAACATTTTTGTTGGGATTCCGTCCTTCCTTGGTGCTCTTCCAGATTTAAGCTCTGAGAGTGCAAGTGTTATCTCCGAGATAGTGGTATGTCTTCAGAACCTGCCTTCTTTATGTTCGTGTTTTTTTCGACATCTTTATTGTAGTGTGGTGCTGAGTTGAGTTCCTTATAGTACTCTTGGATTATTGTTATGATCCTTGTTCTTTCGTTGTATGTTTCCATCCTTATCCTTCATTTGGTAGATTCTTATTTTGTCTTTTCATTGTGACTGCCTAAGGATCTTCATGCTTTATGAGTTCACTTCTTTCGGCAAAATTTAATTTGACTGTTGCCCTAACTAGTCGGTGATTGCTATTCGTGTCGAATTTATTAAGTACCGAGAATATTTACATTACCGGGCGAAAATACAAGAATCAGGTAGGTACATAGATGACACAACAAACCAAGGCTAGACCCAACCATATCAGATATCCCTGGACTATCAAAAATCAAAAGGTTATTTAACACTTGTCACCATTGACACAGTTATTGAACTCTTGCATGACCACCATTGTTGAAAACTCCGATCATTTTGTAGCAATATAAAAAAAAAAACGACCTTGATCAAGATGGTTACAGAAATGACCAGGATAGAATTTATTATGGCGATTTAAATGTAACAATGACTGAGATTGCGGCCGGATGAACATTGCTTAAATTATGGAAGCGTGGACGATTCTTTCATCATAATATGAAATATTGGAGGAGATCCATCTCAATGACATTAATGCGATGAGATCTAACATTCATAGAGGAGGAAACAAGAGACATTTCAAAATTTTAAGATGAACTGGAAGCGACAGAAATATTGAGATGTCTTCATGGAATAATATCTGAATTTTATTCCAAAATAGCCAAATTGTCAAAGAAGACCTCGTCGAGTCGATATTGCAGAGGGTGGAACGAGTACCGGAAAAAAGGACAAAAACAAAAGGTGGAATTAAGAGATCCAGCAAAACATTAGCATTACAGCTCGTATCTGCTTCTAATTTACATTGTGTCAAGCTTACCCATTTTTGGCCCCCAATAAGTAGGTACCTAGAGACTAGGTACTATTCGGATAACTTGTCGGTTCTCGTAATGTGAATATGAACAAAGTAACTAGCGATAATGTCTGCTAGCCCTGGAAATACAGATACTAGAGTTCTAAGAGCTCTATATTCTTCGGGCAAAAACTGCAAGCCTTTAATTTCTGCAGAATAATTCGGGGTTCAAACGTAAGGAAGCGGATTACATTGCATGGAACAAAAAATTTACTTGTAGCTGACCGAAAAATAACAAAATTGGTCTTTTCAATGCCACGTTACATAGCACTTTCGCATAAACGGAGAATTAGGTACCTACAGAATGTTACATTGTAACATTGCAATTTGGTAACTTATGTATGTTGAAGAACATTCTACATCTTTATGGAAGTCTTAAGACCAGTCATTTCTTTCTATATTTTAATAAGGTGTATGAGAGAGTGTCAATTAATTAATCACTTTTGTATGATTACTGAATTAGTAGGTAAGGGTAGGTAAAGCTAATTGGACCACATGGAAGTACAAAATGAACATTCTTCTAAAGGCGCGTACAGATACAGCAAACGAAGGCAAACGAATTCGTTCGAATAGATTCATAAGAATTTGTACGATAAAATATTCGCTTTCTTGTCCGCATTGAACAAACGAACGCGAACAAATTTTTTCATTGTTGTTCCTTTATTTTCGCCAGCCGTCAAAATTCAACAAATAATTTTCCGTACAACCATAAATACGTACACACTATAAGTAGACCGAATGAATTCGGCCGAATTTCACCGCCCTGTAAGCGAACCCTTGCGAAGGCGAACGAATGCATTCGATAGTGTTCGTTAGTACGTACACACTAACCGAACGAATTCGTTTGTTAATGTTCTTTCGCCTTCGTTCGCTGTATCTGTACGCGCCTTAAGAGGTATTCCAAATACAGTTGACATTTTGGAAGGAAAGTTGGTGCTTCCAGTTTTGAAAGAAAATGCGTTAGGCGCTGAAATTGCTGCGCATGAGGCAAGCCAGAGGAGTTTTAATACTACAGATTGTAATGCACTTCTTGCTCTTACGATAAATATGACACAAGATACCTTACAAAAACCTATGATGTTTTCTATAGCAAGAGAAGTGTGGTTTGAATTGAATAGGCTCTTTGATGCCAATGTCGAGGACAAAACCTATGATGTTTGCTTAAAACTCTTTAACTATAAGAAAGTTGAAGATGATGTGGCAACGCACACGTCTAAGCTCAAGAACCTGTGGAATGAGCTGCAACAGGGATTATCAGAAGACAAATCATTACAAGTAAAACATGTAATTGTGAGTTATCTGTTTGTTGCTGTTAGTCTGTAAGATTTTAGAAACTCTACCCCAAGACTACTTCTCCTACAAGTCAAGCTGGATGTTGATGTCGAAATCTGACAGGACTATAGATAATTTAAGAAATTGGCTTTGTTCTCGTGAGAAGGCATTATCAGACAAGAATAATGAAAGTCATCAGGAGGCGTTACTCGCAGAGAAGCAGCTCGACCAATAAGAGAATACTAGTTTGCAATTATTGCAAAAGAGAAGGTGATAATGTCAAACATTGTATTAAATGGAAAGAAGACCTCCAAAACCAGACAGCTCAAATTCAAGAAATAACGGAACAAAGAAAAATAAGGCTACAAATATGATGTTAGTGTCCTGAACAAGTAGTGTCTTATTAAGCGAATGTGATGAGAATAGCTAGTTTGTGGATAATGGGGCTACAAGTCATATTACAAATCGAGGTGATATCTTTGAAACACATGAATATTTTCAGGATACACACACCATAACGACAACGAATGGAGAAACGGTTAGAGCAGTTGGAAAAGGAAAGATTCTGCTACAATCAGAAGTTCAAGACAGAGAAGATGTTTTGACGCTATCAGACGTATGGTATTTTCCTCTGATTGAAAATAATTTATTTCCGGTTTTAGATGCACAAGATTTACAGCCTACATCAAAGTTTACTTCAAGCACTAAAAAATGCAGTTTTATAGTTGGTAGTAAAACCATACTGACAGGTAGGAGAAGTAGATTTGGAGGACTGTACAAACTAGCATTGCAGATCATATATCCAAAGGAAACAGCTCAAATCAATATAGTTTCAAATGATAACTTATTGCAACTATACCATGATCGCTTTGGTAATCAAAATAAACGACATCAGAGATATTTTGAGTCGCGAGTTTGACCTCAAAGTGACCTTAGACAACGAAATGTGTGAGGGTTGTATTTATGGTAAAATGCAACGAAAAAGTTTGGAACGAGAGCAAGATCAAAGGTACCAGGAGAACTCTCACACACAGATGTTTGTGGGCCTTTTGAAAAAGTGGCTATAGATACTTCGTGATCTTCAAGGATGATTTCAGTCATTATCCTTATGTTTACTTTCTGAAAGAAAAATCTGAAGTTACGGAGAAACTGACAATTATGTTAACTGAAGTAAAAACAGTAAGACATACAGTAATGGTGGAGAATTTGACAATGGTCAAGTAGCTGCTAGATTAATCATGCATACTAATGAAGATCTTCCACAACTTTTTTGGACTGAAATAATAAATTCGTTGGCATATATTTTGCATAGGACTAGTGATTCGAGTATCGAGGGAAAATCTCCATTTGAACTGTGGTATGAGAAAAAGCCTTCTTTAAAGCATATGAAAACTATTGGAACATCCTGTTATGCCCATGTACCAAAGTCAGGAAGAAAGAAGATGGATAAGAAGGCAGTGAAAGGCATACTTATAGGATATGACCAATATGATGGAAATCGGATTTGGTGTGAGGAATCTGGGAAACTAGTCAGATCGAGAGATGTGATATTCGACGAAAAACTCATAACTTCAACGTTACCATTGTTGGAAGACCCTGTTAGAACTTCTCAGAAAAACAAACAATTGTAAGATTTTCAGAAACAGGAAAGGAACAAGAAACTAAAGAAAACAATGAACAAAACGGCGAAGAAGATGATAGTTTGGGAAATCACAATTTTTTTGACACTCGTTTTGACATCTTCATAGAATCACCAGATAATGACATTCCAGAAGAAGTCTTAAATGTACCGAGGAGGCAACTGAGAGATAGAAATTAGATACAAAAGCCTGCCAGGTTTGAAGATTTCGCTATGATGGTTGCTGCAGACATTATGGAAAAAAATGAGGTGTACAAGTTAAAATGCAATCCAGATGGCTCTATAGATAAGCTCAAAGTAAGACTAGTCGCAAAATGTTATTCACGAAAGAAATATCAAGAATATGATGAGACATTTAGCCCAGTTGCTAGATTTGCTACAATACGATCTGTTTTGAGTCTACCTTCCAGTGAAAATTTAAGTCTAAGCCAGTTTGATGCATGTACAGCATTACTATATGGTGAGCTTCAAGAAGAAGTATACATGAAACAGCCAGAGGGTTCCAATGATGGTACAGATATGGTTTGTCATCTAAGGAAGAGCCTATATGGACTAGGTTTTTTGGAACAGAAGAATAACGGATTTCATTCTATCCTTTGGTTTCAAACAGGGCAATTCCGATCCATGTTTATTCATCATGAGAAAAGGAACAGAAATTCTTATTTTAGTTTTATATGTCGACGATGGTCTACTAGTCTCAAGCAATGAGGACATGAAAAAATATTCTCTACGACAACTACAGATAGAGTTCAAAGTCACGATAAAGCCTGCATCATATTTGTTGGGTATGGAAATTCATAAATCAAAATGCATATGCCCAGAAATGATTGGAAAAATTTGGTATAACAATTGCAGACCCGTCAAAACTCCAATTGTTAAGGATAATTATCCTTCAGAAGTCGAAATATCAATTTTTTTTATATTGAGAGGCTGTTGGAAAATTACTTTACCTGATGTCAGGATCAATACCAGACATTTCATACGCATTCAGTGTGGTGTCAAGAAGATTGGAAAATTCAACTCACAAAGTCTTTGTTCAAGTAAAGAGAATTTTCCGTTACATTTAAGGAAGGCTCAATTATGGCACCTATCACTCACAGGCCAAGAACCAGAAGAGGTTCCTTACAAGGTTTTAGTGATGCTGATCATGGAGGGGATATAAAAACAGGACGCTCCACAACAGGAGTGGTATGAGTTTATGCTGGAGGTGCTATATCCTGGATGAGTTAGAGACAACCTACGGTTGCCATTCCTACAACCGAAGCGGAGGCCGTTGCAGCGAAGCTTCAAAAAAAATTGTATGGTTAAAAAGATTATTTGAAGAAATAATACCACTGAAAGAAATTCCAGAGTTATTAGTTGACAACGAAGCAGCTATTCGTTTGGCACAAAATCCTGAGAACCACAAAAGAACCAAGCACATTCAGATTCGACATTTCTATGTGAGAGAGCTTGTCTTAGAAGAAAGTTTGAGTGTATACAAAACGTCTAGAGAAACTCAAGTTGCTGATATAATGACAAAAGCCTTGTTCAAACCAAGACATGACATTTTATGTGACAATATGGGCCTAACCAAGATTTCTAATGAGGAAAGGTGTTGAAGAACATTCTACATCTTTATGGAAGTCTCAAGCCAGTCGTTTATTTTTATATGTATTTTAAAAAGGTATATAACAGAGTGTCAATTAATTAATCACTTTTGTATGAGTGTGTCAAATATATTTCGTATTTTCCTCTTAATTTGAATCATGGTTTCTCAAACTTTAACGATGTAGAGGGGGTATTTGTTGGCGTATTGAAATCTTAGCAGCACTCACGTTTTTGTCTGATCGTCTATTTGTGATAATATATCATTGATTGCGATTGCGCCACCTGAATATTCAGTATTTTGGCAAAAAAATCGCTATTCCTCAAAATCCCATCTTTATTTTGCAAGTAAAAAAGTTCATGCATTAAAAAAAAAAGGCCAACAATTAATTATTATTATTACAAACAAGCGCAGTTTTTAGATAAATACATACTCTCAAATTTATGTGAAAAAACGCAATAATTTGTTCAATTTTAACATTTTTACAATCTGTACACACAAATTGAAAAAGAAAGACAATTATTTAACCCAAGAGTGTGGATACATATAGATACACATTACTTATATAACAAATTACCAAGTTTATTGTTGTTTCATGTCTCTCGAAATTGTTTTTTTGTATATCATTCATAAAGTAAATTGTTGCTATTGTATCCACAATCCAAAATATTCCAGATTCTCATCTAATTTCTTGATTTTTTATTCAAATTTTTATAATAATTTTAGACACCGAGAAACAACATCAAATTTACGATTAAATACGAAGTAAAGTCTATGCCCCTCCTTTAATAGATTTTTTTCTTACAATTCTTTGCATCTGAGTCATCTTTAAAGTTTGATGAGAAGACAAAATTAGACAAAACATTTATGCAATTTTCATTGAATTTTAGTAAAAAAAGGCAGCTCCATAAAAATGTCCCAATAATGAAAAATGTTGCTTCTAGTTGGTATAGGGGTTCAAGTTTCGAAATCATTTTAAATATCTTCCCATCTGACTTTGTTCTTCTTTATTTACATTCATTTCACATAAAAAATATTTATATTCTTAAAAACTATTCACACATAGTAGGAACATTTATCTTTAGATTATTAGTAATTAATGTATTATTTACAATAATATTGTAGCAAAACATTACAGTTTTTTATTATGTTAATTATATATTTTATTCGTGGAAGGAATTGTGCTTTGCTTTGGGACATTGTTGTATTGCTAGAATGGTGAAATACCTATACATTCTGTTTTTTCCATTCAAATAACAAAAATCTTAATTTTTGTATTAAAAATTCAAAAACATAGTCGTTATAATAAAATTTAAAAAAAGCAAATAAAAGTATTGAGAAAAAATAGGATACAAATATCATAATTATTAAACGTGTGAAACTTGGCTGAACCAATGCTGAAATTAATTTAATCAATATCCAAGATAGGGAAATTAATTTCATTTTTAAATTCATTAGATTTTTTTCTATTTGAATGTATGTTCACCATATTTAATCAAAAACCAAAATATCAAAGGCACCATTGTGTACAGAAAATTGAACTTTTTTCTGTGTTGAATAACATAAAAAAGTTTGTCCCAGAACGCATATTACTGTATATAAAAATTATACTTACACACTAATATTTATATAATTTCATGTAGGTATATAATAATCAATATTAAAAAATAATTAAGGTATTATATAAATGTTTAACATCATGCTTGCATGAGGTATTGCTGTTACATATTTGTTCTCCACAACCAAACTAGTTTTTGTATATTTATATTAAAAAAATATGGCTATTGTTTAATGATACATTCATACTGTTGTAAAAAAATATGAAATATATTGGAAAGGATTCGAATTCGATGTTAAACATTTAAAAGTTACAACTAACTATAAACTACGCTACACATTTTTCTAATAAGTCAATAATAAGCCAAACCAGAAAGATGGATCTGGAATTTTGTTGCTAGGAACAAGGTTTATCTAAAAAATTGGTAGGCCACCAATCAGGTAGGTCTATCTGAAAATAAATGACTAATTGGATTTCACGGCAGTGGATAACACAAAAATTTCAATTTGGGAATGCAATTTCTTAGACCTGACGACAATATATTATGTCAAAGCTGCTGCATCCTTGGACAAAAATCAATAAGAGTTAGTATGCAAAAAAAGGACCTTAATGTTAATTATAATTTTCCATATGTTAAGTAAATTTAAGTGGATCTGAATGACCTTTTTGCACGTAAAGATACAGGGCGAGGCGTAGCCGAGTCGAGGAGTTCTGGGAGTTCGGAAAAACACTTTTTAGGCGCACCCTATTTTTTAAACAACCCTTATGAAATAAATAAATAAATAATAGATGTACCATACTGCCAAAAAAAAACTGGGATAATAAAATTCTTCTTGTAGAGTAGCTCCTAGACTACCTATGGAAAGAAATACAAACTTATAGAATACATGAAAAGGAACCATAATGACTAAACTTTGATAATGATAACCCCAAAATAAGCTAATAGTCCGGCAGATTATATTAAATTTTGCTGTCCAAGAATTTTTACGGCACAATGCCCCTATTTGTATTTTGATTGCCATACCATGCATACCATATTTGATTATTTGACCTTTGTCGAAGTATTTTTGTCTAGTTTTTTCACTTCTGTGCTAGGGCGAAACGGAAATCTTGGAGAAGAAGCGTCCGAAAAGTAGGTATCTAATTTTCGAAGGTTTGAAGAAGAAAAATTAAACCGCTCTAAAATATTAGCAGATGTGTGAGGAATTTAATCGCGAAACCCTTCCATTGGATAAACGTTACTGCTCTTACCCACAATACACTAGCATCGTTAAGCACCTCGGATGCAGTGTTTCTGGAATTACTTCATGTCGTTCTGAGTGGAAAGGAGTCAGAAGCAGCATAGCTGAAATCGTTTAGGATATATTTTCCAAGGAGTCTAGAGAGTCCTGTTCTTACCGGAACAGTCAGACGGCGAATCTAGATCTATCATCATTGTCACTTGTTGATGATAATGCCACAATTCTCTGTGAACGCAACTGAATATATTGTCGACAAACATCAGTGTCTGGAGTAAAGCAAATTATGTATCCATAAAAATTAATTTTAGGGACCCAGATGGAAGTTTAACAGAAGACAACTGTGGAGAAATTCTACAGAAAACTCAATCAACCAGAGAAAGTTATAATACCCATATCGACATAGTTGATGAAAACATCATGAATGTTTACTCTGAAATATTGCCACAGAAGAGATAGAGCTTGCGTGGTCAATTTCAAAGTCCCATTTTCCGTCATACTTTGCAGAAGGTAACTATTAGTCACCAAAGACAATCGAGCCTATGATGTTTCCTATTCTGTGACAGCGATATTATAGCTCAATATCTATATACGTCTCATTGCTGTTGAAATATTGCTGTATCAGCTACTTTTGGTGACGATGGTACATCATAGACCTGACATACAATATATTTTCTTTTTGATTGCATTCCTAGATAAAGAAGGGATTCAACAATCATAGGCCATCTTCTTGTAATGCGAGTTACCTACCTCATGGTTTGAAGATGTCTGATCCATCATATCAACAACTATCTTTGTTTTTTTATAGTCTATAATATTCATAGGCTAACGGTGGTTTAAATTTGATCATCGCTATGCATGGAAGATACCAATTAGTCATTTTTCTTAGGTTTACAATACAATTCTCCTTGAATGAAAACAAATGGATATTTGATAGAATCCCAATAGTTCCGGGGACCAATTTATATTTTAGCCCTTACTAAAAACACCTTTTTGCTTGCTTATTCGCAGAATGTCGCCAACTTTATATTTTTGACTTTTTAGAGCAATTTTCGGTTAGTCGAAAATAGCCAATTTTGTCTGTGGGGTAACTTCACTTGGTTTCATGCCAATTGTTCTATGCTTGGTATCGTTGTAATTTTTCGTCACTCTAATACCGATACCCACTCATGCTTGGCCGATAACGAGAACTCTTTATAAATCCTCGATTCCAGAGTTCTAATTACCCTCTCAACGATAGCTGCTTTCTTGGTACTCTACGTAGAATAGTGGTTTATACCATGTTCCCTCATCAATTTTTTAAAATGGCTATTGTACATCCCAGTTCCATGATCAGATTGTAGATTTCTTGGTGAATATCCTGTGTCTGTTAGAACAGATTTCATAGCCATTGTTCTTCAGTGGCCTAACCCAAACATATTTTTAATAACAGTTAATTATCACAAGAATGTAGCGATAATCTTTGTTTTGTTGTGCATAAGTCTGCATCTCGGACAGGTCCACTTGGAACAGGTCCCGGAAACCTTCAATAATTGTTTGTCTCGTTTTAAAGTTTTTCCGTGCAGTGTTGTGAAGTTTATGCACAATTTATTTCTTTTCCTCAGATATCATTATAATGTTTAGCAGTTTTTTTTGTTCTTTACTACGCCAGCGAACGACCTGAACAAAGACTTTTTACGAAGTAAGTATTTCTAGTCGAAAACATCACGTCATATTAGAGTTCTTAATTCCGTATTTGTTTCGTCAATTACAGTTCTAGAATATGCGGTTCGTCGTAGCTCCATCACTTCCTTGTCCACTTTTTCTTAGAACGCTTTGTGTAATTTTCCCAGTTCATTAAGGATTGCATAATTTAGTTGGTCCTGTAACTCTACAAATTTTTGATCTGCATACTGCTTCATGACGGCGTCGTTACTTTTTCGCGGGTCTACAATATTAGTTAAATACTTCCCATTCAAGTGGTATTCTCCTCCCTCAGATGTTACTTTAATTTCATTATTTTTCAAATCAGCAAATAATTTTTCTAATTCATAAACTCGCTGCTCGGTATTGTAGTTTAGTAGGTCGACATACAGCTTTGTAACTGTTTGCTCCATAGATTTTTCCATGTCGAAAATCTGAACTTCTACATTGTAATTTAAAAGGTCAGAATACTGTTTAGTAACTGCATCGCCGTTAAATTTAGGCTCTGCTATATTTCTCAAAGACTTCCCGTCCATATCGTAATTGCCGTCAAACGTGATTTTGAATCCTATGCCCGGTTGCTGCGAGTTATTTGTTGGATATTTGTTTTATCCGACCGACGACGGCCGAATTTATCGAATGTAGAGTTGTTCTTCGTGGAAAATGTTGTTCTTAACTAGGACAAAATAGTTGATGTATTGCCTTTAATACCTACCCTAGCCTGCTTTTCAATAAATAATCTTCTCTTTTCTCAGTTCCTCGATTATAGACTTTCATAGAATTTCATTATCTAGTCCTGTATGTCCGGCTAGTCTAGAACTCCAGAGAAACCTGACTCTATCCATCAACTCTGTAGCTTTGTTCCAGTGAACGTATTCGATATTTTTCCCATATTTGAATATTTTCTCCATAGGAGTGTTCGAATGGTAATTGTTGCCAAATGCTACTTTATTCATATGCGGCTAAATGTTTTCCTTATATTTTCGTTTAAAGTTTCGTTTGAATGGCTGCTCCGGGTTAAAGTTCTCGTGTAAACAATTTGACTCGCGCAAAATTTCGATAGATTGGTTTCTCCGAAATTTTGTCAGCGTTTGCAAGTGCTTTGGGCTTTTTCAGGAAAACCAAATCAAAAAGTTCCTCGGAAGCTTCGCAGTTTTCTATATTTTCAGAGCCTCTTCATAAAGCCATTTTTCCTGGTGGAAACCGCACGCGAGCATCCTATTTTATATCTGACATCCCCGTCAATGTAGACGCCAAAAGTGTTATCATATCCTGCCGGTTTTTGCTTCAACCCATCGAGGTATTTCATCGTCAAACTATGTAGGTTTTTAAGCTGCTCTGAAGAAAAAGTCAATTGCTTGGGCTGAACAGTTTGATTATTCATGGTAGTTCCATATTCAGCTGAATGAGCTTTTCGGAGTCTGACGGTGTGATGGAGAAATTTGTAGTTTGTAATCATTGCGTCGCTTCATCTGGCATAATTTGTTTTCTCTGATCGCTGGCCGGGGACTGTTCTAGAGGTGAGGTGGACATCAAGGGTGGCGAGAATGTCACTTTCGGATTTTTAGTTATTGTTTCAAATAAAGCCTTCCACTCTGCAGTCACAGGCTCATGAAATTCTTTAATAACGTGCCTGTTTTCTGACAGGTGGTATTTTAAACAGCTAGGGTTGCTTCAATTATGTTGCGCTCTAGACTAATCTCTTCCTGGCCTGTAGCTCTAGTTGCTCGTTTTTACACTGCGCGACTATCACAATAAATATGAAAGCAGTTTTAGAAAGCGCGGGCTTACATAGCAATGTTTTAAAAAGAGATATGGACAACTACTTGAGCAAGCAGAAGAGAAAAAAAAGTACAATCATTGGAAAAAAGTACATTTCTGTTGCCTCCGACATTTATACGGTTGTTTCCTTTAGCGTCTAGAGCTCTGAACTAGAGGTGACTATGCTTTTGACGAAGGTTTATATTCTAGTTTTGTTTATTTTAATGATATTTTGGTCCCACAGTTCTCCATTAAGTAGGCATATTGCTTTCCGTCCTTATACAGGGCTTCCCACGACGTTTTTCCCAGGTAATAACTTTAGAACGCGTCATCCAATATAATTGAAATTTTGAGGATCTGGGTAACTTTTTGTGCCGCTTTTACCATTGTCATCTAATTTCACCATTGGAAAAAACCTTGTGGGATACCCTGTATATTCCAATCTTCAATTGCTCTATCTAGGGTTTCCTTAATGCGAAATTTTCATTCCTAAATATTTGAATAGAGTGCATTGTTTTAGGTATTTATTGTCCATTATTCAATTTCAGGTTTCGTTGTTCTCCTCCATGGTATCTGCCTCTAACTCATTATGATATATTTGATAGGCGCGTTGCCATAGAGCGTGTTCCGCTTGTTTCACATGACCGGCGTTTCCAGTAGTTTTTCGTCTTGGGAGCTCCAGTTTTTTGAGAGCAAAGTCATAACAGGATAAAATAAATCCGTAACAATTCGGCAACCTAATTGGAGGGTATAAACTGGAGGTGAATCGCTCTCCTAGATGTTGGCGACACAAAATATTTTGTTTACTGTAATGTCAATCCGTGTTAATATGTCATTGAGTTACATAACGTCAGAGCAACTGTTAGAAAACCCACAGGCTTCATAGTGACTTCTGAAACTTAATTCCAAAATTACTTTTGCCGACCAACTGCCAATGTAAACTGAGCGGCAAATGAAGTGGGACCAAAAAATTGTCTAATTTTGACTACGAAATTTCCTGCCAGTGGTGCAAAGCGTCATCATTGGTCTATGCGTTAGTGGCGTCGGATATATTTATTTCAAATTCATATGTAAGAACAATCCCGGATTTGGGTTTGATAAAGATAAAACACACTTTACATTTGGAATAAATACTCTAAGGAATCAATTGGATTTTTTCTTTGATGCCGGTATAATTGGAAAATTATGCAATGTGTGTGGTGCTGCTGTGCCTTCCTGATGTAAGCCGTTCGGAAAAAATGATGGAGAGTCAGTCCGCTCTGTACTTGTATATTAGGGTTTTTGTCTACCACTGTTTTTGTCCTAAGATGCATCGGCTTTGACATAATTAAAAAACCCAATTATGCATAGGTATACAAATAAAGTCTTAAAAACTACATTTCCAACCGTAGTTCAAAGTAGACTAGACAAAGACTAGATTATAAATGAAAACATCTATAAAAGGGGCCTGAGTATTTTAAGGATTCATGTTTTAAATGAATGGCTTTAATATGTTTTATACATTTTTCTGATCTGGCAATTAAAATTTGAACAATTATGCCAATATTACAATAATTATCCAGTAATGAGTAATTTAAAACTTGAGGTACATCGATTTGGCACAGGGCATAATAATAATTAATAACATTATGAATTATCATTAATTAATAAATAGCTATGTATGAATATATTTTTATTTTCCTAATATCTTTTATTTTCGATGTATAAATCGTCTATACGTGAAATCGACTCGCTGTTTTGTATATTATATTAAAAAATATATTGATAATTGATGTTTTCGGAAAAAGTGATAATATTGATTGAGAAACAAAATAAATACAATAAAATTCCAAAAAACAGCAAAATTCAAATCAGAAAAAAGCCAATTTTCAACCAATTACCAGAGTATGTTTCTAAATAAAATTTAAATATTATGTATAAACATCAACCATCAATACGAATTATTATTAAATAACCGGACGAAATTTCTAATTCAAAAACAAAATCATTGACTAGAGGAACTGTGTCAATGCCACTTTAATATTGCTTAAGTTCTGGTAACTCACTATTCTATTGTTCATCATCAACGTTTAAAAAAGTAAATAAAAAATCTGTTATGGTATATCACAAAAACCTAAAGTTTATTCACAGCCAAATAAACAATGAACTGGATGCGGTTTTACTTTTTAAAATACAGTTTGGTAGGCTGGTACTTGAGGACGGTACTTTATACTTGGAAAAAACAGTTTGACTGGACGACTGTAAGTTGCATGCCTCAAAATGCTGAGATCGGATTACACTAAAACAGATTTCAAGATTAAAATCTAAAACTATTGGGCGGTACCAAATTCAAAATAATTTATCAGTTACCTGCTTTAAAATACTGATCTTAACAAAATAGATTGTTTCAAAAAAAAAATTGTGCCTAGAAAAAATATCTAATTTCCCATTTATTCTATAAAATCTTGAAATCTGTTTGATGAATCTACTCGTGTCTATTTCAGAGCTGGCTTATCAATAGAAAATCGAATTTCTGAACATCCAACTAAATTAACAACACTTTAATAACTTTCAACGCAATATTAATAGTCTATACCTATTCTTCCCATTAAGCAAACAGTTCATGACATTCGGTAATGTTATTTTGAAGGAATCTAGGAAACTTTTGTTCTCAAGCAAACATTTTCATCTAACAGGTTAACATCTGAATCACAATCTATTCGTCGGAGTAGGAGAAATTTTCTATTGATTTGTACAACAACAAACCTTCTGTTTCACGTAGGTCACATGTTCCCAGTATACGATTTGTCGTGTTGACGGGTTGTTTTTACTAACAAAATGGAATATTGTCTTGCAAAAGAAACTAGACCAAAAGTTTACCTGACCGCGTTTTAGTATAGACTGTTTCCTTTTGTTGAGACTACCAATAACAGAAAAACAAAAATTCTATTATTTTCTATTAACTTGCGATATTTTTTGCCGAGTGGGTTGATTCCAAAATGAAACTGGAATAAACAGTCAGTTGCGAAAATGATAAGCCAGCTCCTACACAGATTCTATCTGACAGACGCTATCAAATACTGGAGCTATAGAAAAAAAAAATGGAAAGTATGCCAGTGGCTCGGAGCTAAACACTTAAACGATTATATTGAAAAGGATGGAAACGGAATTCGCCTTAACGTGGCGTATTAATGTGCGTTGTCAGATGTTTCGACAGGTAATCGGCACGTGCGAAACATTTGCCGCACATATCGCAGTGATACGGACGTTCTCCGGTGTGAATACGTAGATGCCTCGTAAGGTCACTTTTACCACCAAAAGCTCGACCGCAAAATAAGCAAACGAATGGACGTTCTCCCGTATGCTTCCGGACGTGAAGTTTGAGGTTTTCCTTTGAACGCACACATCTGAAAATACGAGTTTTATTTTAAATGTGAAACAATCCAAGAATCCTACATACTTTCCACAAAACGGACAAGCAAATCGTCGCTCCCTCTGGCGATCGGCGCTCTCATTAGTTTCAGCTCGAAGCAGGGTTGCAAGGGCTGACGCGTCGCTAGGATCTGCACGTGAAACATCACTTGCAGGAGTTGCTAAGCTGTTACTAACTCGAGAGTCAATTGTGTCATCTTGTTCTACGTCAGGTTTTTCTGTGTCCGATGTTGAACCACCTTCACAACCTGAAACAGTATGATTACATGTTTTTTTCACGTAATAAAACAAAAAATAATTACCTGGAGTATCCTCATTTTCCACTGGTTCAGCCTTAACTTTAACAGCAGACGCATCTTCGTCTCTGTCCATCAAAGCTTCGTTACTACTAGAAACCTGATCGCTGCCCTGATCGACTGAAGTTAAAGCATTCACCGATGCTGCCGGATCTCCTGAAGAAATACGCCGACTTCCATGGAGTCGCTCCAAAGTATGATTCAAACGATGCTTCTTGAAGGACTTCAAATATCTGAACTGCATACCGCAAACGTCACAGGAGAACAATTTGTCTGCAGGAAGTCGAGCCCTATGGTTTTGCTCACGATGTTTCACGTAAGCTGAGCGGTAACGATAAGACTGACCACACTGGTCGCATACGAACGGTTTGTCAGGGCCTGAAGCTCCTGGCAAATGCTGTAGCGCAGCATGTTGTTCCAAAAGCCACGGGGAGGGGAATCCAGCTAGACAAGCGCCACAACGGAATGCAGCAGCACCAAGTCCATCCAGTGGAGGTACTAGACCAGCCTCTAATAGTCCTGCTAGAGGAAAATGAAGCAGTGGTGCGCCAGGAGTGGAGGCTCTCGAAGAGGATGCTGATGATGGGGGACGTTCTAAGGAGGAACCGCTACGTTGTTCAACGTCCATTAGAGGCTGGAAAATATGTATTCTAGAGTACTGCGTTGTGGCGTTTTTTCAGTACCTATGTAAGACTCGGGAGCTTAATTTGGCCACTCGCCAAAAATATTTGGTAGGTACACAGGTCGCGATCTAAACCAATTCACATTACTGGTTGCGGAAACTTAATTTCAATTTCAAACTTCGGACACTTAAATTTTACATTTTTTGAAATCAGCGATTGGCTTTTTCTCAAAGGTAATGCTATAAATATTTCGAGAAATGAATTCTTTCAATTTTTATACACTTGGATAATCTTGTGTTTTAATACTCCCACACTATAAAAAAAAATCAATTTAAAAAAAATCTCATAAAACTATCGATTAATAGAATTAGTGATGCATGGAAAACTATTAAATCTAGTGCAACCAGAGGAATCATCCCCCCTAATGAGCTGTGGGACCTTGACGTGGTGGAGGCTCAGTAACCTGCACGGACTCACTCCTTCCATAGTGAGAATCGGCGGTGAAGCGAAGAAAGGCTCTCCAATTCATATGGCGAAACAACCAGCGCCGAGGGAAGCATGATAGAGGGAGTGCCCTATCGCTAGTTTGCGGACTCCAGATACAGGGCGACCTCTGGTTTAACTTAACCTTATTACACTAGTGCGGAGCTCTGGTGTGAGTGATGTTTCTTTCTGTTGCCCCTCCTGGGAATAATATGGATCAAACACAAAACAAAAGAAACCGGATGAGGACTCAGAAATGAGCGACTCCTCATCAACAAAATCCACCATCACCGAAGGAGGAGCAGCTTCGGCAGTAGAGTCTTTAGTTGAGGTAGCCACTGAAGCAGACTCAACGCCAGCGGTGGAAAACATTGCAGCGGACCTATCTTAGATCTCGCAAACAAAAAATATCTGACGCACATCTGAGGAAGCTTAAAACGGCCCAGAAAAGAGCTGCAGGGACCTGGACTAAAGAGAATCCAGCCAGGACAAAGAAGACGAAAAAACAAAGCGGCAGCAAGAGCGAGGGTGAAAAAAGACCCCGCTCAGATACCGCTTCATCACCCAGACAAACGACTTAAAGTGCTAGGCGTGCCAACGCACAGACTGGCTCCTACAGCGATGCGGCAAGTGGCCTCAGTATGGCTGTCATCGACAGCAGAGGTAAAAATTAATCAAGAGCAGGCAGATCTGATCAAAAGGAAGCTGTCTCCGACGCGCCAGGGGCAAGCAACGACACACTCCAATTTAAACGAACCACATACCATGCAGCGGTTCCATAGATGACCTGCGGTAATGATGCCATCAAAAACAAGTTGGGACAGGCGGTGAAGGGACTAGGAGAACTCTGCCAAGCCAAGGACCTGCCAAAGCGACCATTGGTAATGACCTTCATACCTATAGCAGAGTCAGTTAAGGAAGAAGTGATCAGAGCACGACTTGGCGGACAGAACCGGAAGCTCAAGGAAACAGACTGGATTCTGACGTCCAAGGAGGCAGAAACAGGAGGACTGACGCTGAGGTACCCCATAGACGAGGCGTCATTTGGAGCTTTGCGGACCAACTTATTCAGCGTGTTTTATGGACTTGTGAGGTTGACCTTCAAAGTGCTTGGGGGTCTCGATGGAGGGAATCAAGGTCTTCCAAATAAACCTGCAGCAGAGTAAAGCTACCTCTGCCGTTCTAACTAAGACCATGGGAAATTACGACATTGCATTGTACGGGAACAATGGGAGAGTAGAGGGAAAATTGCAGGCCTGTCGGGAGTCAATAGAGCAGCAGATCCACTGAAAACCCCAGAGCTTGTATAATAGTTTTGAAAAAAAATTATAAAAATGTTACCGCTAACGAAATTCTGATTGTCAGCTGGGGGTGGGCAGAGGGAGCTAGTACTCAGATCTGCCTACCTTCCAGGAGATGATCCTCATGAGCTACCATCCAGGGAAGTACAGAACCTGGTAATGAGTTGCAGAGCAGAAGGATCGCAATTCATAATGGGATGTGATGCGAATGCGTACCATACTATATAGGGCAGCACAAACACCAACGATAGAGATGAGTCAGTACGACAATTTATTATAGCAAATAGTTTAGACATATTAAACGTGGGAAATAAACCTACGTCTATAACAACTTTCAGAAAGGAGGTACTCGATATCACGGTATCTACAAGATTTGTTAGTGGCTTCGTGGAAAAGTGGCATGTGACTAATGAGGTGAGTTATTCAGATTACAGACACATTAGCTTTAAAATTACTAACTAATTGAAACTAAAACTTATCGCAACAACCGCAGAATAAACGGAAGCCTATCAGGCAGACCTGCAGGACAATATGCGGGCCATAAAAACGACGATAAGAAACATCGTAGACTTGGACCTAGCAGCGGAATAACTGCAGATCGCTGTTACATCCGCCTACATGAACAACCGTCCTGCAATCATGAGTAACTCCAACAGGAATGTGCCCAGGTGGAGCAACGACCAACAACAAAGCAACCCGAACAGGAGAGTGGAGCGAGTACCGTAAAACTCTGACTGAATATAACAAATGCCTGAGAGCATCCAAGAAGGAATCATGAAGAAGACACTGTTTGAAGATCGAAATGACTCCTTCATGTGCCAGGCTCTATAAAATTATTTCCTAGGACACTCCAGGAATGATTGGCTCTCTAAGAACATTAAATGGAAACTACACTCAGACCGGACAGGAAACTCTACATAGAAGAGCTTTGCAGAGTACACTTCCCGGGCAGTGTGAACCTTGAAGAAACCCCTGAAATCTGTCACTATGTAGACCTAGCCACAACCAGATATGGCACTAGGGAAGACTGGCAGACGGCAAAAAAAGTAGTAACATGGCGTAGACTGGAACGGATCATTGACTCATTCGAGCCATATTAATCGCCAGGACCAGATCGGATTTATCCAGTATTCTTACAAAAAGGCAATAGCACGCTATACTCCAGGCTCTTGATAATATTTAGAGCAAGCCTGGGACTAAATCATATCCTCACAGTCTGGAAAGAAATCAGAGTTGTTTTCACTCCCAAACCTGGCCCCCAATGTTGTGGAATGCTATATGCAATATTTTTTTGACATGAAACGCTCTTGGTGGTAAAAATAGCCCGTGAAGAAGACCAATTGCATGGTCGAAGCGTCGGCATAATTTTTTCAGAAAGGGAGGTTTATTTTTTATTTTTGAAGTCCTAAACCCATTATCTCTGCTCTGTCGTTGAATGTTATGTGTATTTTAAAAATTTGGTATGAATTTTTTTCAAGACTATCAAGACCAAGACCAAGACTGAGCCAGTCTTGTCCTGGTCTTGAAACATCAAGACCAAGACCAATACCAAGACCGCATTTATTTTTCGAGACCAAGACCAAGTCTTGGTCTTGCGAAGCCCTAATCCTACATCACCTTGTCCAGCGGGTTGAAAGTACGTTGGAAAATAAGTAAGTTGTGTTGGGAGCTTTCCTTGATATAGAGAGAGCGTTTGACAACACTTCGAGCCTTCGAGGCAATCATGAATGCTCTGCGCCGATGCGGATGCAGTATTGATGATACATGCTGCAGATGGATAGACTGCATGCTTCGAGGTAGAGTCATCCACGCCACGCGCCTAGGTGAAACAGTAACGGCTCGGGATGCAAAGGGATGTCTGCAAGGCGGAGTATTATCACCCTTGCTGTGGAATCTGGTGATGAACGAGCTGATAGAGCAACTGAAGAGCAACAACCATCAAGTAGTGGGATATGCAGTTGAATTGGTTATAATATCTTAGGGAAAATTCAACCATGCAGTTAGAGATCTCATGCAGCAGGCTCTAACAATGGTCTCTAGGTGGACAGAGACTCTAGGGTTGAAAATTAGAGCCACCAAATCGACAATTGTCCCCTTTATCAAAAGAAGGAAAATGGAGGGACTTGAACCTCTTTACCTTCAGGGAAAACCAGTTACGATATCTGAAGTTAAATATGTTGGGGCAATCATAGACTCAAAATTCACTTGGAACAAATATCTCGACAAAGTTACTAAAAGGTCAGAACTCGTACTTATACTAGCCAGGAGAACTTTCGGAAAAACCTGGTGGCTGCGGCCGGACATGATACACTGGCTAAACACAACAGTTTTAAAGCCAGCAATAACCTATGCGTCTTTGATATGGTGGACAAAGACACAACAAGACAGAGCCAGAATGAGTCTTGGCAGGGTGCAGAATTGCCTGTCTGGGCATTACAGGGTGCATGAAAAGCACATGAACAGCAGCTATGGAAGTCCTTCTAGAGCTACCTCCGCTACCCATTGTGAGTCAAGCGGAAGCCAGGATGGGCTTCCACAGACAACGAAACAACCTGAGCAAACTAACAGTCAGATCAGGCCACACACAAATAAGGGAAGTCATAAATCTGACAGTATTCGACATGATAACTGACTATGCACTTCCCAACTAAGCAGGAATCAACTCAGAGTAGCAACGGACTTTCTTACTGGGTATGCCCTAGTAGAGAATCACCTGCAAACAATAGGCTTGTACAACAGAGACACGAGCTGCAAACTATGCGGAATAGAGACCGAAACAGCCCAACATATTATGTCAGAATGCGATGCACTAACTCGCAGAAGACAAAATATATTTGGAGAAGATGAACTAGATCCAGACACATACGGCAAACATCCTACAGACCTACTTCGCCTACCTGCAGGGAACCAGGGTTTTGGAATGGGTGCAGTAATTAGGAAGATTCAGCACATTAATCTTTGTATGCTTTTCAGATGCTTATCAGGTGTCAGACGCTGCTGGGCTTGTACACTCTGAAAGCTGGGCTGCCACTTCAACCGAACCCGCTTTGTCGAAAATTACCGTCTTCACCATCATCGCTATTGTGGTCTTCGTCCGCGACTCTGGACACGGGCAGATTAATAATAGCTTGATCCTGGCGTCACTGCGCTATTCTACCTCGTATCTCAACCCTTAAATGATAAGGGTCCAGACTTAGGGCTGATATATGATAAATATCCTTCAGGATTGTAGAATACCGATAATGTATAAAATAACCGATATGAAGGCACACAGGCTTTGATGCTGTCAAAAGCCTACTCTGGCAATACCTACACAAATGCCTGCAGGTCTATTGGCAACTAATATTATGAGTCTTTTAATTTCAACCAATGTAAAAGGTGTCCCCCAGTTAACCCATGCAACCCCCGATCAGGGATTGGAATGGCAGGTAAATGTTCCTGTTCTGGAAAGCAGGATTCACACAATTTTCACAAAGGTTATTTTCGAATAGAAGGCAGATTTTTCAACCTGGGCCTCATAAACGCTCGTACCTACAATTCAAGCTAATAAAGATGTTTTTGACAAGCAATATGCAATTTCGAAATGCATCTGACAGACACCGCACAAACTGCTCGACAAGTACGAATGAGTTATAGTCAACTAACCAGAGAGTACAATTAGAAACTCCAAGGGGTTGAACGGGCTATCAAAAAGCTCACAAATTATAAGTCAGGTCGCAACAATCACATGTTTGTTTACGTTGAAGCAGCATTTGAGGGCATTATTAGAAATAAACTTCACGAGCAGTAAGTATTCCTGAGAAAGTCTCACATCGACATAACACCTTCTAGAAATCGGTGCAGATACGTGCCTATGCCGATAATGTCTAGAGAACTGCATCATCTATCACAAAGCAGGATGTTAATCTTCTAGTCAGATTCAAGAGGGAAATTTTGAGAATGATATCAAATAAATCCAAGTGTGGAGTGGAAGTAACAACAATAAACTCTATGAAGCCTTTGATAACTCTGGTGGCGGCGTGCACTCACTTAGTGCCATTGAAAGATAGTGGACTTACCTCAGGAAACATTGTCGCGTCAAACTGGAGTTTCGGCATGAAACTTGGAAGAGAAGGGTAAGATCGCGACTACCAAGATATTTTTCGGAACTGCGTAGTATTTTCTCACCATATTCTTTACATAGTACCTCTCTTTTTACCATTAAGTCAACGCTTCCATTCCTTTAATCAGTTTTCGAAATAGTACAGATTTTTTTTTCTTCTATAGTGTCGTTTCATTGTCGTTCGAATTCGTCCATGTAAGTAGTTATCTGTGCTCACGGTTCTACAATTGTATTCTGCGATAAGAACTTGGTGTTTGTTGTCTGCGTTTCATAGAAATTATCGATCCATGGTTTTGGTTATACGTGAATCCATATTTCTTAAATGCACGCTGAATGTGAAACTACAAGTCATTTATTCATCCTAATTTCTTTGACCTCTCCATAAGAGTGAGAACCAATAATTCAGTTCTCATACTCCGAAATTACGCCTGCAGAAATATTTTTTGCAACCGGCTTTTTGGCTTGGCTCAGATCGTGATTATCTATATACCTACCTTTTTGAAGTGAAAACTTCTTTAGAATCGTTGGGAGTGATTTGAGACTCGATGAAACGAAAAAGCGACACTTTTTTTGCGTTCTTTCTCAAGTTTTTTGGAGGGGGGTTAGCCACTGTGTATTTTAGTATGTGTGTAATGCATGCAGTTGGATGAAGGTTTCACTTCTACTGGGTGCGAACTGCACTCTTTCTTTTCTCTATCATCAACTATTTCCAAAAATGGGGAGGAATTTCAAAAAATATATCACAATGTGTATTTACAGATCT